TTGTGTGTGTGTGTGTGTGTGTATAGATATATTTACTGAATATATATGTGTACATATTTACTGTTACCCAAGCACACTCAAATACACTATACGGTCGCTAGTGCTTAGGGATGCTTGGTCGGTAGTTTCTGATATTTATACTCTTTGCGACACCGGATATGTAGCACTTCGTTGAAGTGCTATATATATGCACAATACAACCACATACGCATCATATGTATATACAAGCATACGTATACACAGTATATCCATATAGTATACACAAACATCCAACATACTTCGATGACGTAATCCTCTGGTCGCACGTGTGATGCTATGCATGAACGGTAGTCACTAATACTCTCCGCCACAATCACAGGGCACGCGTTTCTGTCCTTTAGTGTGCTGTTCCGGTCTGTTCTCTTTCGCGTCATCTTCTTGTGTTTGATGTGTGGGTGTAAGGTAAGCGGTTTGAAAGTGGAAGGTGCTCTAACTAGTAGAGAGATGTCATGCCGGCCTTTTGAACTTTCCCGGATATGTCTCTAATAACGCATCACCTGGAATCGGGGGAAATAAATAACTATTGAAAACCTAAAAAAAACCCAGAAACTCCCTCACACAGGCACACTGCGCAGTAAACGTTTAACGCAAACGCAAAAATATTGAATTCTATACGTTTTGACGTAAAAAGATGTATACCCAGCTGAAATCCATAATTGCAGAAACGTTTAACAAAGCAAAAAACGATCGGGGGGTTTTTTTAACGGGACACGGACTGAGCTTAACGGGAAACGAACTGAGCTTGACTCAACCTCAGAAAAACAGTCTAAATACGCTCCGAAAGTAAATATGAAAACAGATTTTGTGCTTCCTGATACTATAACAACAATACACACATGAACTTGCCCACCATCGCACAGATATGACGGGCGCACATTATGAAGTGGGAGATGAGTGCTTCATCAGGTATCCCACTGAGAAAGGAGCGTTTGTGCGCGCTCAGATATACAAGAAGGGCGAGAGTGAAAAGGAATTCCGTGTACAAGTTATGGAAACAGCAACAGTTGGCGGTGATAATTGTGAGATACAAGGCAAGATGGCAGATGACCAACTGCAAGTCAAAACGAACGAGATGTATCAGATCGTTTCACTGTCACACACAGATGCTATGGCAGGGGTGATGTGCTTGTACTTCAACAAACCTCACGGTTACTTCGTGTCGGCAACGGTGATTAAGAAACACTTTGATGACGACCCCCCATACTTTACTATTGAGCTAAAGACCACCAAAGATCAGAGGCAAACGATTATGGATCGACTATATGTGCATCCACTGCCGGATGGTAGCAAGACACACCTAAATACACACAAGAGCAAGAAATCACACACAAGTACAAGCAAAGCTGACCAACTATCGGGGAACACGACGGAGACACAGGGACATGCACATAACAACAAATCTAACGCTGGATCCGGTGCGAGGTCTAATACGGCAAACAATTCCAAGGATAACGCCAACTCAAGTGGAAAGGTTGAAGCACATGAAAAGAATAAAGCGCACAAACACACTCGTTCCTCATCCCCCATGTTGACCAACGAATCACTCCGCCTAGATCGCAAGCGTGAAAATCCGGGCAATCGCAAGGCACATGCCAGACGATGGGATCTAGGTGAGGGCTATGTGCAGAGTGTTGCATCAGACTTCCTGCGCTCTACTGCAAACCGTCGAAGGCATTCTAGGTCACGTTCTCCGTTACAAGAGCGTGAGCGTAAACGTGCAAGAAGACAATCTCGATCTCGATCTCGATCTCGATCTCGATCGAGAGATAGAGATGTAGATAGAGATTTAGATAGGGATAGAGATAGGGACAACTCGGATGGCGAAAGGCGAAGGTACAGAGAAAGGTCACGCGACATACGAGATAGACAGCGGCGGAGTGGGATTGACCGCAGCAAAGACGTGCCGCAACGGCACAGTAGGCGAGAAGGCAGGGACAAGGTTAGCTACAGGAATGCGAACAAGGATTTGTTCGGGGAGCCGAGTTCGAATGCACAGCCTCAGAGAAATAGTAGGCGCCCACGCCAGGTGGGTGAGGATGAGAATTTGTGTGTGTGCATGTGATTGTCGCGTAGTAGCTTAGCCTGAGGCTGTGTAGTATCACATTTTAAAATTCTTTCTTGGTTAGTTCAGTACCTTTTGGAATAAATTAGTGTTTAGGTGTGCTAAACGCTCACATAGATTGGTTTGTAGAAGGAAGTCTTTTGGAAAATCTTCTGCATTAACACCGGAGTCATATTCTAGGAAGGTATTAGCAGTTTTAGATGCAGGACGGAAAAATAGCCTCACTGGACGTTATAATCTGTCGGTGAAGATTTTGATAGGTATTTGAACTCTATACAAAGCCTTGTATATTGATGGAAGTAATAATGCTGGATGTAAAGAATTTGTGTACATGTGAAAATGGTCGACTCCAAAGACTTCGTTAAGGGCATGATGTCAGTGCAGTGATTCTCTTATACTGAACACATATTCGACGTGTGTATGCGCACTCGGATTCTGTACATTTACATCAACTCGATACTATTTGGTCACGCTCCAGATTACACAGTTTGACATTTCTTGTACGTGCCAAGTCATATTATCGAGCATACCGCTTATGACTACAAACGGGTGAAGCGTATGTTCGATAGGCCATACGAAATCTATATTCTATGATTATGACAATTGTTATCCAGCCTCTTCTATCAATTAATGTGGGTATATTCTGTATCAACTTAACAGAGAAGCATAGATGTAGAACTTCAGCAGATGGAGGATGAATTAAACAAAGTACTGCTCAAAATCAAATACTTGGAGTTCGAGGCGAGGCAATGGGGCGATCTGCAACACCTACATAGGCCCACGAGAGAGGAGGAGGTCACCCTAACTATGTTGTCAAAGCACCTGGAAGAAACCATGGGAAGTCATGAGGCATACCCCCGACTGCGTGCACAGTGCAAAGAGTTCAGTACACGATTAGGTGCAGTGAGGAAGACTCTGGGGATTCAGTATGACTAAGCTATGTGAAATACAATGGAGAACCATTGAGATGCATAGCGGTGTGAAGCAAGAAATTATAGGCACGGTAAAGGTAAAACACGTATCAGCAGGCATATATATGTATAGAAATCGACATGTTATCCTGCTAACAACAATGGACCACGGCTTTGGAGTAGAAAATTATGTACGCACATAATCCATAATCCAGTACACCTGAAATCTAGTAAACTGGAGCCTTATTTGTTAATGAAATCTTAAGCTTCCGAAAGCCAGGTTGTAGCACCCAACATGACAACCTAGTGTTGGCAGCAGGAAGCATTCAGATATTTATTGCATACAAATAAATGGGCACTTTCAATATTTGCAACTATATATCTCGAATACTGCATTCTTGGGCATTTTGTCTACGCATGCGTGATCTCGTCGACTAAATGACAAACAGTTCGCCAGAGGTGAATACGAAATGACGATACTTGCAGAAGGTACATCACAACACTGGTTGAGAATATAGTGCTAAGTATCCATCACATTTGGTCATGCAGTTAACCAGTTCGCAACACCACGTGCACAACTTGCATCTCCCGCGAATATATCTAATACCGAATTTCTTCTGCCGCATTATCATATTCAAGCACGGTCTAAAATATCCAGTCACCATGGTATGTATTAATATTGAGCAACACTATAATACTAGGAAAATTCACGTGCATATTGTCACCGCACATTCAAATACAACTGTGGTTCGATTTGAAACAGCAGATGTACAAGGGTACTTCATTCTTGTCTTGCGGTTCTTGCTAATTTCTAATTTACATGCGTTTTGAGAGAAGGGCTGTCCAGAGCGCATGACCTGCCTATGCCTCGTTAGACAGGGGAACCATACCTATTCATCCTCGCTATTACACAGTATATTCCTTTAAAGAACCGTAAGTGCACTTCCTGACCCACGAGTGAGTGCTGCGCCCATTTGTACAAGCCGTATAAACAAGTGAACCTCGATCGGAGTGTAGATAACCACTGTATAATGTCCGTCTGTTCATGCTGCTATCTACGTTGTTGTCTGTTGATAGTTAAATTACTATCAGGCAGTATTCATTGTAGAATATCCACAGCACTCTAGTGGCGTGTACAGCATTTTGAGGCTACCTGGTACCTGGCAAGCGAATTAAAATTCAAAAGCCCTAAACAGTAAAGGTTAAAAAATAAGAACTGGATAATTGAATCAAGCAAAGTTCCTCTTAGCAAGTCAGTATACTTTCATTCGTTGTACAAGGAAAGGTGATCCCATGTACTTGCGCGATCACCGATACAAACACATAGACTACTTTGTACGAAGGCACGTGCCCAACAACCCCGTATACGATTGGCTTCTTCATACAATCTGATGAAAATATATCTAACAAGAAATGGAAGCAACTAATATAATCCCGATTTTCAATTTCCAGGCAAGAAGTTGCAAACATGCTGTGCGACTTCAGCATCTCCACAATACGGGTGTACTTCTTGATGTGCAAGATACTCCATCGTCAGTTGAAGGATCAACAGCAGGTAAGATTTTACCGACATATAGAAGAAACACTATGTCGCAAGCCGTGGATCCATGTACATTCATCGACAGCAGATTGGGTGAAGCAGTGGAGTGAATTTGTCGGGAATGTCGTGATTTCACATAAGCCGCCGGCTTGTTTCCATACAGTTCCCGTTTTAGCTTCAGAACAGAATCAAGGGGTAAACCATGTGGAGGTCTCGATCGTATCAAAACGGAACTAGAACTATATTTATCAATCACTATTGAAAGACTTCCAAAAAAAAACAGATAGGGGTGTGAAACTTTGTATTAGTTTGAGACGACGGACGTCGGACACAGCCTTCTGAAAATTCAAAATTGTCAGGTGATAATATTTATTTACTTTCAGAAAAAGGCTATGACTGTTCTTACTATTTAGATCTCTTCTTGTGGCTATGACAACATTTACTTTGGTGTTAAAACGTAAAAAATACAAGACATATTATGAAGCATAGCCTTCACAATGAAGGTTGTGTTTTATTTATTTTTAAATATAAATAGATGTTTGAACGAGAAAAATAATATTGAACAGAAGAAGGCTCTTTGTGGACGGTGACTCAGAGTCGGAGAGGAAATACTTCTTTTTTTCTTTTCTTTTTAAAAAGTCTCGGACAACCAAATTTCTCTGAAGGTCCGGTCCAAGAGGCCTAATAACAGTCTGGACTACCATAAAAAATACACAATGATTTATAATAATAAAACTATTTATAGGAAAATAAAATATGTACACTGTATTATACAACAAGGAATCCAGTCATCACGTTGCAACGTTGCAACGTTTAAAACCCTTTTCTATATACTGGTACATAGTCCTAAACACAACTTGAAAGGGCCATCCTCGAGGTCCAGAGCGTATTTACCATCTTGTCCTGTCCACTCCGGCATATCAGCACCTACTTGCGTTTAATTGGTGCGTAGTAGAGAACCAGGTGAATCTGGGAATATAATTTTTAAAACAGATGTAAATATATATCCACCTTCCTCATTTTATAGTAATTTTACATATTTTTATCCCCCAGCCCCAGGCCCCCACTCTTTGTACGTATTTATTTCCTTTTCTGATATTCTACTTCTTCTCAAAAATATAAACAAACATCATGTACTTTTCTCCTCTCGTACCTCGTGGTGGTAAAAAAAGATATCCTGCACATATATTATATGCTGACATTTAGACATATTATACATATACGTGATCACCCGGGTAAAGATAGAGAGGGATAGAAATTATTTCGACATGGACGCCAAGACTGCCACCCAATTTATCGAAAGCAACTTCGACAGTTGCTTTTTGAATCCATTAAAGGTGTGACAAGCGTAGGCGTAGAATGTTGTACGCTTCATAACTATACTTGAAAGAAAATTAGTCGTTTAAAGTTTTGACTAAATTGATCGAAATAAGATTGTTTATGTCTCCAGTACAAATACATAGAAAGAAACACAAACATACATCAACATACACGTACGTGCATGCATACAAACACACGCACTCACACACACACATATATATATATATATGCATACATACATACAGCGTACATAAATACATCATCAATCCATACATTCATCTATTTATCTATTTATCTATCTGCCTACCTATCTATATATACATACATACATACATACATACACACATATATATATATATATATATATATGTGTGTGTGTGTGTGTATCTTGTTTATTGTTTATGTATATGTATATATATATATATATATATATATATATATATATATATATATATATATATATATATATATATATATATATATATATATATATATATATATATACTCAATCACACTCACACTCACACACATATATATATATACCTTTTTAACGTTCATTTTTTGGTATCTTCACCATTCCTCACTATATCAAATATCACTGATATTTTATATCTCTGTAATCTGTGTATTTTCAGGACTTTGTAGAAATCCCGAATCTTACGCCCGCGTTCGATGAGAATTTCTTGACTAATGGACTCATCATGGATGCCTGCAGGTACATCACCGACTTTGCCGATGCACAAAACATTCCCGGTCTCACACATAGATTACACAGCGAGGAAGGTAAGGGTTTAGTAAATGTATATTGCACATCTCGATAGACAGCGAGGAAGAGTGTACAATGTTATACTTTCAATTTGTATGTTGATGAACTGTACGGAATGCGATTGTTTCCCGATCCGTATCATCTCCTGGGTATGATACCTGTGCATTTCCCGCAGAGATCAACGAACATCAAAGTGACAAATCTGTCATTAGTGATTTTCCTTGTTAGTGGTGGTATTCCAGCATAGTCAATACAGGGCCAGATTGACTTCCTGAGTGTTATCGAGACCGAGCGTGGAGTGTATATGACATTTCCCGCGCACCCGCCCATTTTGGGCTCCATAGCCCAGTCCGGACCATTTGAAAGTACCTGATAATGATGTCATACGTACACATGCTTAAATTATTAGGACACATCCTGTAATCCCAATTCTCAGGCAAATCTCCAATGCTTTGTATCGTGATCGAGGGAACTGGCAAGCGGAATGTGATGTTCTACGGACACGTCGACAAGCAACCGCACATGGAAGGTGAGTATATTTAAACTAGGGTTGTATATTTGATGAATGGTAGGCAGTCAACAGTGCGACTACTGTATTGGGGTGCCTATGTCTTATATATCGAGGTTTAGTTGGGTGATGTGTTAGGGGAAGTTGGGTTGGTGTTGTCGGTGAGTGTATTTAAACTAGGGTTGTATATTTGATGAATGGTGAGCAGTCATGAGTGTGACTACTGTATTGGGGTGCCTATGTCTTATATATCGAGGTGAAGTTGGGTTGGTGTTGTCAGCTAGAACGGGCGTGCAAACGTGTGGGAGAGAGGCAGGGGGGGGATGGGGAGGGCTGCTGGGTGCGTTCGATTGGGCTAGCCATTGGTTGCTGCACAAGCATATTCCAGTGGAGAATGATTTCTATATCGACTCTATCCTCGACTGTAGATCCGCTCATGGATTTTGTTAGTTTTTTTGTGTGCACTCATGTATAGCCCAGGGTGATGTGTGTGCGGCAAATAATGATTTAAAGGGTTTGTTTGATATACTTTTTGCGGAGAGTTATTGACTCTTTGTAGCTAGGCTGGGCTAGCATGTTGTCAACTACAAGCTGTTGCAGTATACGATTATGTACGACCTCCGGCGGTTTGTAGATGGCCGCTACCAGTGTAAAGATGCTACTAAGGTGACTGTTAAGGCTGTGAGCTCTACGAAATGATTGTCAGACATGTACTAATGGTAGTGCATCTTGACAGATACGCATTGATTACCATACAATGTCAGCTATACTATAACAGTCACAATGGATTATAGTATGAACTCTGGTAACGTATATTTATAGGTGACTGGGAAGAGAGATCGGGATATAGCATGGACTCTAATATGATTTAAGGATTATTTATAGATGGCTGGGACGAGGGTCTGGGTGCTACCAAAGCGGTGGTAAGAGGCGATAAATTGTACGGACGCGGAAGCTCGGACGACGGATATGCCCCTTTCTCCGCACTTTTGGCCATCAAGACCGTACTTGCTCAAGGGGTATGCAAGTATTCAGTACTAAGAGTACAAAGCATATATATATATATATATAATATAATATAATGTATATATATATATATATATATATCCATTCATATATATATACATATCGTTTATGTCGTATGTATATATATATATATGCTCATATACAGGATTAATCATATACTCATGTATTCAACTCTTCAGGTACCCTTACCACGTATTGTGATCTGTCTGGAGTGTGAGGAGGAGAGTGGCTCTACGGATCTCATATATCTGCTGGACAAGATGAAGAGTGAGATTCAAGTACCTGATATTTGTATCTGTCTCGACGCAGGTAAGAGTACCACGCGTAACAATATTCAAATGTATTTATGCTTGAATTCTTTGTAGTATCTACTAGACAAGTTCAAGACTAAAACTGAAGTACCTGGTTCATATTTTTTCGACGTCGATAACGAGTATGGAGCACATAAACTTGCATATACACACACGCGTTATCCACACACGCGTATATATATATATGTAAATATATATATATATTTATATATATATGTATATATATTTATAAATATATATTATTTTTATATACATAAATATAAATATGTATATATATATATATATATATAGTTGTATATATCCTCTGCTGAAGAAAAGTGTAGTTTGATTTGAGAATTTGATGTTCGACGCGGGGTGGGGAGTGAAAGCATTAATATATGTCTGTATATTTAAACGTATGTATGCATCGTCTTCATGCATACAAATCTATAGTTAAAGGTCCTACTGTTTCTAATCGAGCGGCACGTACTACTTCCAGGAACGGCGGATTACGACAATCTATGGCTCACATCATCGCTTCGCGGGGTGGTCGCCTGCAATGTGCGAGCGGAGGTAAACACTGTTTTCATTAATGATTGTCATGGCTTCTGGTAAAGAACACCAAGCTTATGTCTACATGTTTACACATCAAAAGCAAAACGAATACTATGCTATTGTGCACATGTGTGCAGCTATGACGTGCCTGCAGGTGTACTGCTGAGTTTTTGGGCCGCTGAAACCCCAAGTAGTCCTGATTCTTCGGTGTAGAAGTCATATAGTAGCTTGTACGTGACCCCTCCCTTGTATTAAAGTTTATTTCGCTACCATTCCAGCAGTGGTGTTCACGCCATAGAACTGACGGTCTAAGGCCTACGTTTTCTGAGGGAGTATCCGTCTTGTTTGTAAAGTCATGCTACGTACATTACACAGACGCACCACAATACACCTCATACGCACTCACCTCCAGAAACAGCATCGCATGTCCATGGTTACTGCGAGACCTTGGGCTGATCTTATATTCTCAGCATGCAGCAAGCTGTACATCAAAGTACATACAATATAAAATGGTCAAATGAAGCTGTGTACTGTCATTGTACCCTTTTCTGTACAGGTTTGTGCCTGACGGATGCAATTGGCAGTGTATACAACACAAATGGTCTACTGAGTCTTGTTACTATCGTTATACCCCTTTCTGAACAGGGTGTGCCACAGATGGTCTACTGTGTCTTGTTACTATCGTTAACCCCTTTTCTGAACAGGGTGTGCCACAGATGGTCTGCTGAGTCTTGTTACTATCGTTATACCCTTTTCTGAACAGGTTGTGCCTAGTGGACAGCACAGTGGCATTCTCGGCGGAATCATCCCCGAGTCACTGAGCATCCTTCGGGCCATCCTAGATCGCATTGACGAGTCGTCTACCGGAAAGGTGAGTAGCCTACTTCTATGTGGATGGGAAAAGGCACATATATGTATGTGTACCCGTGCAGATATACATATATATATATATATACATACATTTAGAGATGTAAACTGTCTATGCTTACAGACAAATTCTATCTATACTTGCGCGTATGGAATATGTTGCGGAGTCACTGTGTATCCATCGAGCAATCTTGGGTCGCATTAGTGTGGCTTCTACCGGAAAGGTGCGTTTGACTTAACTATATGCGGAGAGAAAACGCATGTATGTATATCTATGTATACCATATATTCAGATACGTGTACATCCTACATGTATGATACATATGTGTATACGTATGTGCCAGTATATACATATATATATTTATAAATCAAGAGTTGGGTTTTCTGTCTGAAAAGTAGATCTTTTTCGCACAAATCACAAATAAGTGGACTCATTTGTATGTGTATAATATAGGTGATAGCATTTTGCCTGTGTACAAATGTACGCTTCTGTGCTTCATAAACCTACCTTGCTTGAATATTCAAACTCACTAGCATCAGAAATATGCACGAGTCGTGTTTTTTTTGCTCAATTTGAACCTCCTGTATGTGTATATTCCGCTCCTCATATATAGGTTGTGAGTACCTTCCAAACTCCAGTACCGAGCTGGAAGGCAAAAGAAGCAAAAGAATTGGCGGCACTCAAAGGTATATCAAACTTCTATGGGTGGTCGACGGGTTTGACATGTTTGCACGTTTGGCAGAAATTGAAGTGTAAAGAAGGACTTTATAGTTGTTTCATTGAATATTTCCGTATCTAGTTTCACGAACGTGTGCGTATATATATATGTATATATATTAATAGAAAAATTTATGCATATATATATATATGGATATAGATATATCTATATCTATATATATGTATATGTACATATATCTATGCATATATGTGTATATCATATGTATATAGGTACACATATACATATGCAAACGTATATACCTATACATATACATATATATGTGTTTATATACATATACATATATATATATGTGTGTATACATATACATATACATATATTTTTATTCGAATATACATAAATGTATATATGTATATATGCACATATATATATATTTATATACATACACACACACATATATATATATATATATGGGTGTGGGTGTGTGGGTGTACATTTACATATAAATATATACATACAAATTCACACACACAAATTTATATATAGGCATAGAAATATATGTATATATATTTATATAAATATATATATATAAATATATGTAGATACATTTATATATATATATATGTGTGTGTGTATGTATATAAATATATATATATATATATATATATATATTAGAAACATATAAATATATATATACATATATTGATACCCTTTCATGCTCACTAATCTCGTTTTCTTCCGCCGCATACACCTTTTTAGGCAAGGGACTTTATGAATTCTGCAACTTCCTCGATGGAGCTAAGCCAATGTTCCACGACGATCTGTCTGAGATGTACTTAGGCAATACATGGTACGCTATGTTATCCGTCACTGGCGCCAATGGACTACCTCCCACAGCTGATGCAGGTGATTTGAATGTATCAACGTATACTTTTGTTATATATGAATAAATAAACATACATATATGTATATGTATGTATATATATATGTATGAATATATATATATATATATATAGGTGTGTGTGTGTGTGCATGTACATGTGATGTGCATGTGTATGCGTGTATACGCACATATATATATGTATACGTACATAGCAATGACAGGTGTGTGTACATGTAAATGTATGCATTTTCATGAATTTGAACATTGATATCACTGATGTTGACGACCTGCCTGCCGTAGCTCATTCAGGCATATTATTTCTTCATGTATGAATATTGCAGATGTATATATACATAAGTGTATTTTCATCCCTACGCATATATATGTATACCATACACAAATATATTCAATACTATTTTATTTCATCGCACAATGTGTGCTGAGAGTTGTGTGTACGCAACAAAATATAGGTCTTTTATACTTATACATATAAATATATCCATCCATACATATATATATATATATATATACGTTGTATCGGCCTAAAAGTTTGTGAAAGGTTTCACAGTGTATACATATATCCATCTCCATATTCATATGTATATCTCTATTTATCTGTTTATTTATTTATCTATTTGTCTATATCTATGGGTAAGTATATGTATGTATATGTATATATATATATATATGTGTGTGTGCGTTTGTGTTTGTGTGTATATATATTCGTATATGAGCATGTAGACCAAGATACTATTCCACAATGAACTGTGAGTTGTACTTGAGGAAAATATGAAACCACGTGCCATGGCGGGCATAGCTGAGCATTCGTAGCTGAATGATTAATTATTAAATAGATGGCCATAAAGACATTCGTATTCACGTGTTCATAGTACACATCAATATGCACATATTCACAGTACCCTCCGATATCCGGACTTACTACGCAGCTACTTTCGTGTACGCTGGCTACCATTATATGGCCTATCTCATCCCGCATGTGTCATCTCCGAACCCTTCAGGTAATGTACTGAGGGCCTTCACCGAGTTTCGCATAAGTTTGCGTCTGCCGCCCAACAAAGACAGTGCTGTAGCGGCACGGGAACTGCAAGAGATCATCGAGAAAGACCCCCCATACGGTGCCAAGGTATATTCCTGCCCGGAAATTGGTGGCTCTGAACTGATTGATTTCTTTTGTTGTGGTGTATGTGTAACTATATCGTAAAATACAAACATTTATGTGTATAATTATGAGGGCATTTGTGTATATCTGCGTCTGTGCACATATAATCATAAAAGCGCTTTAGCCGCACATGGCTTGTATCGAAATTTTATAAAATGAACCTGTATGGTGTACGCATTTGCAAGCGGAAGTACTGGCTACAAAGACTTTCACATGTCTGTAAATAAGAGTGTATGTGATTTTTTGTAATCTGAATTTCTTGTATGTTTGGGAACACCTGTGTATTCCATTTCATGCGGAACCATCAAGCTTGCCATGATTTCTTCCTACCAGTGGGTAATTCTACGACTTAGTAAATTGATATTCCTGATGTCACAAACACTCGTGATAAACTGACCGTATGCTCTGCTGCATTTCAGATCACTGTCAGTGGCCTGAACCACGGTGACGGATACTGCAAAGCCGAATACGAACCGTGGATGTACGATTCAGTATGTACCTAGAATATATCTATATATATGTGTGTGTGTGTGTGTGTGTGTATTTATATATATGTATATTATATATATATGTGTGAGTATACTGTGTGTATGTGTATGTATATGGGTATGCGGGTATGTATGTGCTATATACTTATATGCATATACTCGGATCCCAGCCCTTAAATCTGTATATGTATGTATGTATATATATATGTGTGTGTGTGTGTGTTTGTGTGTACAAAATAGATCTATATAGATTTATATTTTGGTATATTATATAGGTGTATACGTATATGTATATGTATCTATATATATCCGTATATGTATATGTCTACATATAAATATACGTATATATATATATATATGCATGCACGGATATATAGATACATAAATATATATATGTTTATATATAAGTGTGTGTGTGTGTGTATATACATATCTATATATACCTATATATATATATATATATCATACTTCTCCTGATTTCGGCGCGAAATTGGCCCTTTGTCACCATCAACCCTAGTTTTTAAACCGAAAATATATTACTCTTACAGCTCTCCAAAGCTGCTCAGTCCAATTTCGGATCGAAGACATTCGGAACCTTTGCCACAGGTGGATCCATACCATTCCTGACAGAATTATCGAAAGTGTATCCCACAACTATGATTGTAGGCTTGGGAGCCGCTGGCGCTGATTGTAATGTATGTAAATCTACGATGGACATCAGTGTGTGCGTGTGTAATGGACTTTGATTCAAGTGTGCGTGTGTAAATGTAAGTCTGAAGTGCACAATTGTGTGGATTTGAGTTCAAATCCAATGTCTGTGTGAATCTAAGTTCGATTCAAAAGCTGTATTCAGTATCAATCGAGTCGAGGCTGTCCACTACTGTGACTATTGAATTAAGAACCGCGGGTGCTGCCTGTATTGTATGTGAATTCAAGTTCGAGTATCTGGCTTTGTCTTGCACTAGAAAACTTGTTAATAGCCACTACCGAGAGAGATAGGTGAGGTATCGGCTGGCGCATTGTTCTGTACCAATAAAGTACTTTATTTGAATGGAATTCAAATCCAAGTGCAGATTTTCTTACTACTGCGAGCTTGCATCTCACAATATGCTTCACGATGGATACGGCTAGTTTCTGCGTATAGGCAAGTTTTTACGTACTGTCGCGAGCTTTCTATAATATGACAAGGTTTGCACTCGTGTCGTGATCTCAGGGTACATTGTACTGATGCAAGGAACGCTCCCTCAGTGAGGATTACGCTTCCGAGTCGGTGTGTTCGAGCCATTTGTGCCGTCTAGCAGTATTGTCTAGGCTCACCAAGTCTCCAGACTTGTTATTCATATAGTTTTCGCTCACTCTTCACTTATCTCTTGCACTCAATTATCCATCGCTTGTGTTGGTACTGTCGGTCCCATTCAATCGCCTGTCCGTGGTTGCCAATACAACGGCTATTAGTGCCACAACCCAAATGAGGTAAGTCGACAACATACTTCTGTTGAGCGGGGATCATGATATTGTATACTTATCTATAAGTAGTAGCGTAAAAAAAATATGCATGTATCTCGTTTAAAGTTGTTTGCAATAGCTGTCGATTTTTGGTATATGATATCAACTTCAGACATCATGTATGTTTAGAAGCTGTCGATCTTTGATTGATACCCGTTTATGGGAGTACGAACAATTGGGATCAAGATAGTGTATTTCACTTTAGATTGAGTCGTGCTTTCTATGTAAAGACTGCCGATTTTCTCCGTAACTACGCATATGAGTGTACAGTTGTGCTCGATGTGAGCAATCGGGCTGGGGACTGGGCTCAAAGCTAGCGCCCATTATTCAGCAAATCAACCATGCTAGGCTGATTTATCCCGTACACCTACATTTTAAGCTCAAAGAGGCTACTTGTTTCTAGTTATGACGAACATACAATCCTACTGGTAAACTAATATCTCATATACTTCTATGCAGAACCTGGACCTACCTTTCAGTAAGAAATTCATTGGTGCTTTGGCCTCAGTCCTGGCCGATTGTGGAACGGTTTAGTAAACGCGTGGGAACCTGGTATCGACCCTATCAGAGGTAGATTATACCAATGGCCGCAGATTGATTTTCCTTATTATTATCGAGTTCGGCATCGACAAAATCTTCTTGATTGGCGGAACTAGACGGTAAATCTTACCCCTGTTTGTAGGCGTAAATGAAACCAATCAATCTGGACTCAAAAGAAATTGAAACGCAGTCAATACGCAGTTTAATATGGACTTAAGAGAAAATAAAATTGCAGTCAATATGGACTGATTGAGTTTGGGGGTTGAACTCTGAACTCTGATGAATTCAGTTAAGAATAGGTGTTCCGTGCGGTGAAACGGCTCTTTTCACGGGGTTTTAATGGAAAATAGCAAAAACTCGTGTAGATTTTTTTTTAATGCGTTAAAGAACTGAGTATTAAATACTTTTGAAATGGCGGTGTTCGTAATAAGTATTGAACTCTTCGTCAGAATAATTAGATAGTTGTGTTAATAGCTGTTTGTTTGATTGTTAAAGAAAAATCGTTTCTGTAATAGGTTTTTGTGTAAACCTTATCTTTGAAGAAAATCAATGTATAAGATTCTGAACTCAGTTTGGTATTCCTAAAACCCTCCCTGGAGTTTGGACAGTTTTTTCGACCTTATTTTTCGTCATCAGCATGGTAGGAAAATATATATGCTTAGCACGTGTCAATAAACTTCTACCAATACTAAAGTCTTCAGGAAAATCGATGATAGGCACATATTCGAGAATGATCAAGTTAGATCGTACACAATTTTTAATGCCGTGCTGTCTAATATCTATATCTTTTATATCCTTGGGTGTACCAGTGCCTAGTGCGACCCTCAAGTCACTTTGATTATCACATCGTAAGAAGGTAGCAAGAGTGACCCGGTAGCCGAGTGTATGTATGTTGTTTCTGATCCAGGTAATGTTATGGACGGGTTCGGAGGTAACAACATATTCAGCTTCACTTGAACACAATGCGACTCTCTTTTGTTTTTCACATTTCAAATAAAAAGTGGTATTTCATGGCAGCTCGCCCAATCAGAATCCGTGCAAGTATTTAGTGTATTATCCATACTTTGATTAACAGACTTCCGATGGTATGTAAGCGTGTCATCTGTTGTATGTACTAAAAACTGTAGGATACGTTGAAGTGCTTCAGGCTGTTCCGTTGTAGGGTTGTTTGCAAATGCTGCCAGTCGATTGACAGTTGCTGCGATATCTACTCGAGTCATGTCGGCTGCAAAGCCTATTGCGCCCAACATCTGTCGATGTTTTCCACCAGTGTGTGCTGCACTTGTAAATTTAATAAGACGAATACCATTTCACGGGGTATATTTGGGTGTTGTATCAGTGATGTTTAATGTAATTAGTAGAATCGAACCAGAGGACAAGATCTATAAGAAGATTTTAGGACCGGACCAGAGGACCGGACCTAAGGAGAGTATTTCAAGATCGGACCAGGGGATCGGACTAGATAGTGGAATACAAAATTTAATGATAGAGAAGGATGGCTCATCAGATGTCATCATAATTTGTACGGGATAGAAACATGATTCATAAATACAGCAGGCGCGCCGTTGACAACGGTTCTGACTGAGTATACTTATTTAAGACTCAACACTCTTTACCGCCTAAGCGCTACTCGGTTTTGACCTCATTTTAAGTGACCAAACTACTGTATTTGTTACACTACATTCTTTATACACTACTTCAACAAAGAATCAATTTAGTCAATTTGTTTTTGCTTCCGATAGTGAAGGCACCTACTACTAGACCGATACCTGAGGTAGGCAAGCAAGCTTGTGACCGTCTATGGCAACGGCTGCTCGGAGTTCATGGTTAATTGCCTTCGATCTGTGCTAAAGTGGAGACAGCATTTTCTCTGAATCCGAAACCTGAGGATGAAGAACAGGCAGAAATCCACGTGACGCGGGCCTGTTTGGTTTCGGAGGCCCAACGCTCGCTTTCTACGTTAAATGAGGCCAAACAACATCCGGAGTGGATTTCTGATCGGGATGGACACTTGGGAATGCTGATGTCACATGTGCAGGAAGCCACGGAAATTATTCATCTCATTCGTGAAGAAATCCGCCAACATCGTGAATTCTCATTGGCGAATATTGACTTCACTACTGCCAATAGTACGATCCAGATGGTATCTGGTGATGAATATTCTGGGTAACAGGTAGCTCCAACATCGCAACCACATTGGACTTATCATCACCCACAGGTATGGACGACACCAACTGGCCAGTTACCTAACAGCGTGGCTGACGATGTATAGCAAATGAGCCCAGTGAAACGCAGAATTGGCCGCACGAAGCCGATGCCTCAAGCGGCACGTCACGATACTGTGCACGATACTGGCAGGGAGCGCATGTTGAAATACGCCTAAAATCGAGCACAAGAAATACTGACACCTGATGAGATGCCGACAGAAATATGTGGTTCTAGTAGTATTCAGGAATCGACAACTGTGGTAAAATCCCTAGCAGATGTTTTTGGGAACCAGCGGATTTGCACTTTGCAATGGACACTCCACAGAATTTTTCGTCGTCGGCAAAGCGTTCCTTTGATGCGTTTCTCAAAGTGACGAAATCTCCACGAACAGCTCAGTCAAGGTCAAGTAGCAGCGAATTAATTTCGTGACAAGCTGAAACATCACCGTCGTCCGCGCTCACTGAAGGATAGTTGTCAGGATACTGCAAAGATACCTCTTGATACGCTTGCATGTCGCAAACACTTTTCTGTTCATCACGACCGTTACTTAGTGGACCCGCAGGATGTGAAACGATGTGAGCCATCAGCACCCACAGAGTCGTGCATCACCGAGTCTACAGCGGCAGAGATGAAGATGCAGATCTTCCACCTTACCCAACGTATGATACAGGCAGAGACCGAGGGACGCATAAGTCTAATAAGACTTTGAAGACATGCCCAGTGGTGCTAGACAACCGGATGCCAAAAAAAATGTCTGCCTAATCCACATGGCAACTTTTATTTAGATAACCCGCAGAAGATACAGCTGCATGCGTTCATCTTAGACTGGCATAAGAGTGCGAGCTTTCACAGGTTAGATTCAGTTCATATTGTGCAGATGGGTGTACATAGAGCTTTACAGAAAGAAAGGGCATCTATGGCGCTATTGGACTTTATTGTGAACAACGAATGTAAATTGCAGTCGAAGTCGTTTGAGGAAGCCACTGCCTTATTGTACGCACACGAAAACAAGACTTGAAGGATAATACATAAATTTGTTGGCATACATGCAGTTAAAGCCTCCAATACCACTTTATTCACATATTCGGGATTTTGAACGCAAAGTTGAATTCATTAAGATACGACAGAATGATAATCCGTTACATGTTTACCGCAATTATAGTGTGCTTAAATCTTATACATCAAGCTGCAGGAGGGTACGTACTACCGCGATACTCTTCGTGTGCATTTATATTGGCGAGACTACTCCTTTGAACGTATGCGTGAAGTATTCCGCGTGAACATTGGCAAAGCAGAAGAGCATCGTCAATAAATCTGTCGCGAACACAACAGATTCCGGGAGGCTCGCGTTCAAGATCACACTTGCGTACGGATACGAACACACGTGCTAACCCACTCGCGCCACCAATATTGAATCCTCGGGTTCGTTGTCGATCATGTGAGTAAAACCTTTCTCCGGGATCAGCACATGCGAACCGCTGTCTTAACATCAGCGAACACCTGTACAAACTAACAGGGGTAATCGTACACACCCTGATGGGTTTAATACACAACGCCTGTCGGGTACTTTTACTTCCGCCCTCGTGTAAACTGGTGATCAGATGCCTGATCAACAACCGACAGAGACGGGGGAGACTGAAGCAATGTATATTCATGGCTTGGTCGACGAGTAGTGTGTGCAGAGTGACGATGGGTTGATGGAAGACGAACAAGTACCAGAGGGTTGGAAAGCAGGAACAAATTCGGAGTGAAGTGCTGGGGTGTCTGACGTGATCATGTGCATATTATTTGGCAACTGGACTATTTACAGTAAAAGAGAACTTTTCATGCCGACAACCGTGTATATGTTACTTTATAAGTGAACGGACATGATATGCGCACCCTCATTAACACGCTGGCGAACCGTTCAGTCATCACTTAGGCATCCGCGGATAAGGCACACCTCTGTATTAATACTCCGTTACACCACCGGCTAAGGACAGCTATATTTATTTGGCGGACAAACCCCACCCGACTCCGCGCTTGGGTAAAACACACTCAACAAAGGTCCAGTACGGGACAGCCACTACTGAAGGTTGTAAGTTTGAACTTGTGAACTTGCTAGATGATATTGATATAATACTGGGTATGGATACTATGGGAGAGCCGGGATTAGGCTTACCCGGATCAGCATCACAATTCCCGGAAATTAATCGTAATGTTATTGATTAACTTCTGGAACCGATCAATCTTCGAATGGCTCCACACCTGTCCGAGCCAGATGATATACGACAACGTTTACGGCAGTATCTGGATGCTAATGAGACAATTATTTGCAGCTCGATGTACATTACCGGGCAGTGAAGTGACACTTCCTATACCTCGAGATAAATTGCTGGGTCTACGTTGGCAGACAAGCACTTTTGTTTCAGATAAGTACAAACCACATGGCACAAAACAAGTTAACAAATGGGAACATGAGTTGGTAACCAATCGTCGAACATCGGCGTCGACTGTTAACCTTCCTATGTTGGCGGTACCATCCTGTATACCGTCGGGAAAACTCATCAATGTTCGTATGTGCTTGCACTTACGGCAGATTAACGCTCCTATTCTGGGAGATCAGCGTACGCTACCGAAGGTCAACGAGATCATCAGCAACGTAAGGGGCAAGCGACAATATACAACGTTAGATTTATCTGCAGCCGACCATCGCTTACCGGTACACGCTGACTCTCAGCACCTGTTTCCGTTTATATGGGACAGTCAGCAATACTCGTTTACGTTGGCTCCGTTTGGGTTGACGACGCTCACATCACAAATTCAGCGTACAATCAGTAATTTGATAGCGGGATTGGACGTCCAATGTTATGTCGATAATCTTATCATTGCGTCTGACGATTACAAGGAACAAAAATATAACTACTGTCCAAGAGGTCATTCGACGACTGATGGAGAATCAATCACTTTAAACTTGATCAGAAGAAGTGTTACTTTCTTGGAAAGAAGATATCTGCTAAGAGGATTGATGTGGATCATAAGAAACAGCAACGATTAA